AGAGAGGATGTGGTAGGTAAGTTTGGGTGCCAGGTGTAAATGATAATGGGGGTCTTTTGATTGAACTTTGTATAGAAAGGGGTTTGGTTATAGGTAATACATATTTTAAGTAAGAGGATAATTAAGTATACAAGATATGATATTGGGAGTAATAACAGTAGTTTGTTGGACTACATATTGGTAGATAAAAGACTGTTGGGTAGATTTCAGGATGTACATATTTATAGAGGGGGCCACAGATATATCAGATCACATTTTAGTGGTAGCTACAGTGAGAGTAAAAGGTACATGGGATACAAGAAAAATGGAAGCAGCAAGTAAGAGAGAGGTGAAAGTTTATAAACTAAAGAGGAGGCAGTTAGGATAAGATATAAACAACTATTGGAGGTGAGCTGGGTAGTGAGAGTATAGGCAATGGGATAGAAGTTGTATGGGGTAAGTTTAAGACTGTAATGTTAAGAGTGTTCAGCATAAGTTTGTGTTTACAGGAAAGTGGGTGCAGGAAGGAAGATGGACTGGTGGAATGATGATGTAAAGAGAGTAGTAGTAAGAGAAAAAGTTAGCATATGAGAGGTTTTTACAAAGCAGAAATGATGCAAGGAGGGAAGAGTAAATGGAGAGAAAAAAAGACAGTGGTGAAGGAATGTAAAATGAGAGCAAATGAGAGAGAGTGGGTGAGATGTTATCAAAAAATTTTGTTGAAAATAAGTTTTGGAGTAAGATTAATAAGTTGAGAAAGCCTAGGGAACGAATGGATTTGATAGCTAAAAAACAGGAGAGAAGAATTATTAAATGGAGAGTTAGAGGTATCACGAAGATGGAGGGAATATTTTGAGGAATTTTTAAATGCTGATGAAGACACGGAAGCTGTGAATTTGTGAATAGGGCAAGGAGGAATAACATTTTGTAGGAGTGAGGAAAAATCAGCTGTGAGTGTGGGGTGGGGGTGTGAGGCAGTAGGTAGAATAAAAGAGGGTAAAGCAGCTAGGATTGATAGGATAAAGATAGAAATGTTAAAAACAAGTGGGGATATAGTTTTGGGGTGGTTAGTGTTTTTATTTAATAAATGTATGGAAGAAGGTAAGGTACCAAGGGATTAGCAGAGAGAATGCATAGTTCCTTTGTATAAAGGCAAAGGGGACCAAAGAGTAAAAATTATAGGGGAATAAGTCTGTTGAGTTTACCTGGTAAAGTGAATGGTAGAGTTATTATTGAAAGAATTAACAATAAGATGGAGAGCGGGATAGCAGATAAACAAGGAGGCTCTAGTAAGGTTAAGAGGTGTGTAGACCAAATGTTTACAGTAAAATACTATATAGGTGAACAATATTTAGATATGGGTAAAGAGGTTTTTGTATCATTTATGAATTTGGAAAAGGCCTATGATATGGTGGAGTGGGAGAGGGCAATGTGGTAGATGATGCAAATGTAAGGAATAGGAGGTAGGTTACTGAACGCAGTGATGAGTTTTTACAAGGATAGTGAGGCCCAGGTTAGAGTATGCAGGAGAGGAGATTATTTCCCAGTAAAAGTAGGCCTTAGACAGGCATGTGTGATGTCACCATGGTTATTCAGTATACATGTATTTATAAATGGAGTTATAAGAGAAGTGAATGTTCAGGTGTTGGCAAGAGGTGTGGGGTTAAAAAATAAAGAATCTAATGCAAAGTGGGAATTATCACAGTTGCTCTTTGCTGATGACACTGTGCTTTTAGGAGATTCTGAAGAGAAGTTGCAGAGGTTGGTGGATGAGCTTGGTAGGGTATGTTTGTTAGGGTATGTAAAAGATGGAAATTAAAAGTGAATGTAGGAGAGAGTAAGGTGATGAGGCTAACAAAAAAAAATTAGGTAACAAAAGACTGGATATCAGAGTGGAGGAAGAGTGCATGGAGGAGGTGAATGTTTTCAGATATTGGGAGTGAATGTGTCAACAGATGGGTCTATGAAAGATGAGGCGAATCATAGAATTGATGAGGGGAAAAAGGGGAGTGGTGCACTAAGGAGTCTGTGGAGACAAAGAGCTTTATCCATGGAAGCAAAGAGGGGAATGTATGAGGGTATAGTTTTACCAATGCTCTTATGTGAATGTGAAGCATGGGTGGTTAATGTTGCAACAATGAGAAGGGTGGAGGCAGTGACGATGTCATGTCATGTCTGAGGGCAATTTGTGGTGTGAATATAATGCTGGGAATCCATAGTCTGGAGATGTGGAGGTGTGAGATTACCAAAACTATTATCCAGAGGGCTGAGAAGTGGTTACTGAGATGGTTTGGACATGTAGGGAGGCTGGAAAATAAAATGACTTCGAGAGTGCATATGCTGTCTTCCATATGCCAACAAGGGTAAAAGTGATTTAAATGTTCATTAATCCATTTCATTAGTGCTTAATATTTATTTCTCACTGTTTTCTGTATGTAAAACTATGGTCATTCTCTATAAAAAATTGTTTTGTTAATATATCTCGGTGACTGGAATGGATTGATAGGATTTACATTATTTCTTATGAGAAATATTACTTCAGTTTTCATACAAATCGATTTCCAGCCGACCTTATGGAACGGATTAAAGACGAAAGCCGGGGGTCTAACTGTATAAGACAACCAACAATGTCGGCATAAGACAAGACAACCAACAATGTCAGTGCAAGACAACCAATAATGTCAGCATAAGACAAGACAACCAACAATGTCATTATAAGATGATCAACAATGTGAGCATAAGACAACCAACAATATCAGTACAAGACAAGACAAGCAACAATGTCAGCATAAGACAACCAACAATGTCAGTAAGTACAAGACAAGACAACCAACAATGTCAGTAAGTACAAGACAAGACAACCAACAATGTCAGTGTAAGACAAGACAAGCAACAAAGTCAGTATAAGGCAACCAACAATGTCAGTACAAGACAACCAACAATGTCAGTACAAGACAACCAACAATGTCAGTACAAGACAACCAACAATGTCAGTACAAGACAACAAACAATGTCAGTACAAGACAACCAACAATGTCAGTAAGTACAAGACAAGATAACCAACAATGTCAGTAAGTACAAGACAAGATATCCAACAATGTCAGTAAGTACAAGACAAGACAACCAACAATGTCAGTATAAGACAAGACAAGCAATAATGTCAGTATAAGACAACCAACAATGTCAGTACAAGACAACCAACAATGTCAGTACAAGACAACCAACAATGTCAGTACAAGACAACCAACAATGTCAGTACAAGACAACCAACAATGTCAGGACAAGACAACCTACAAAGTCAGTACAAGACAACCAACAATGTCAGTACAAGACAACCAACAATGTCAGTATAAGACAAGACAACCAACAATGTCAGTACAAGACATCCAACAATGTCGGTATAAGACAACCAACAATGTCAGTATAAGACAACAAACAATGTCAGTATAAGACAACCAACAATGTCAGTATAAGGCAACCAACAATGTCAGTATAAGACAAGACAACCAACAATGTCAGTACAAGACAACCAACAATGTCAGTACAAGACATCCAACAATGTCGGTATAAGACAACCAACAATGTCAGTATAAGACAACCAACAATGTCAGTACAAGACAACCAACAATGTCAGTACAAGACAACCAACAATGTCAGTAAGTACAAGACAACCAACAATGTCAGTACAAGACAACCAACAATGTCAGTATAAGACAACCAACAATGTCAGTACAAGACAACCAACAATGTCAGTATAAGACAACCAACAATGTCAGTATAAGACAACCAATAATGTCAGTATAAGACAACCAACAATGTCAGTATAAGACAACCAACAACGTCAGTATAAGACAAGCAACAATGTCAATATAAGACAACCAACAATGTCAGTATAAGACAAGACAACCAACAATGTCAGTATAAGACAACCAACAATGTCAGTATAAGACAACCAACAATGTCAGTATAAGAAACAACAATGTCAGTATAAGACAACCAACAATGTCAGTATAAGACAAGACAACCAACAATGTCAGTATAAGACAACCAACAATGTCAGTATAAGACAACCAATAATGTCAGTATAAGACAAGCAACAATGTCAGTAAAAGACAACCAACAATGTCAGTATAAGACAACCAACAATGTCAGTATAAGACAACCAACAATGTCAGTATAAGACAACCAACAATGTCAGTATAAGACAACCAACAATGTCAGTATAAGACAACCAACAATGTCAGTATAAGACAAGCAACAATGTCAGTATAAGACAACCAATAATGTCAGTATAAGACAAGCAACAATGTCAGTATAAGACAAGCAACAATGTCAGTATAAGACAACCAACAATGTCAGTATAAGACAACCAACAATGTCAGTATAAGACAAGACAACCAACAATGTCAGTATAAGACAACCAACAATGTCAGTATAAGACAACCAACAATGTCAGTATAAGACAACCAATAATGTCAGTATAAGACAAGCAACAATGTCAGTATAAGACAACCAACAATGTCAGTATAAGACAACCAACAATGTCAGTATAAGACAACCAACAATGTCAGTATAAGACAACCAACAATGTCAGTATAAGACAACCAACAATGTCAGTATAAGACAACCAACAATGTCAGTATAAGACAACCAACAATGTCAGTATAAGACAACCAATAATGTCAGTATAAGACAAGCAACAATGTCAGTATAAGACAAGCAACAATGTCAGTATAAGACAACCAATAATGTCAGTATAAGACAACCAACATCATCACTACGAAGCAGTCAACAACGTCGTTAAAGAGCAGCGAAGAACATTAAGAGATGGGTCAGGAACGGGGCCATAAGACAGCCAAAAGAAGTTGATAACGAGGAAAACAAAAGCGCGATTTAGGAGAAAGCCAAGAAGTGTGAGGAAGTCAAAAGATCGCATAGACAGGCCAGGCATCCGAAGGGGAATGATTGTGATGCAGCAGCAGCAGCAGCAGCAGCAGTGGTCAACCCTGAGTCTCACTCACCCACGCCGTATTTCTGGTTCTTGGTGGGTGTCCACATATTGTGGAGTCCATGAGTAGTGAGGTGGGGGCAGTGATCAGCAGGAGGGGCAGCTGCTGGGGCTTCCACAACACATCTTTGCTCTACACCTTCGATGCCCCACACATATTGACTATTTACTTTTGCAGCTTGTAACAGCGGCCGCTAGATGGCAGAGACAGCCCCAGGGGCGTTCCCCGTCACCCGCTAACTTTAAACTAATATTTCTACTACTGTTACTACTACTATTGCTGTTACTACCACTGTTACTGTTATTGACACTGAACTATCATCATTACTTAAGGCTCTTGACTCATATAATGACTCCAACAACATGCTCATTGGATAAGTCAGGTATAGATACTCAAAAATCCGGGAAAAGGGAATTAATGTACAATTGCTATGGATCCCATCACACACACTGGATTACTTCATGATAAAGTTGATATGTTAGCCAAGAAGAGCACCCTGAAGGAAAATGTTGAATATAACTTTGGTATATCTGTGTCTAGCATTAAGAATAATATTAGGAAAATAAATAATGAAAATAATTGATATAGGAATGCAGTTAGAAGCCTGAGTAGATGTATAACCCACTATGATAACATGAACATAGACAAGTATGTTTATGGAGCACCTTGCAATGTGAACACTGACTGATGTTGTAGTGGCCAGGCTTAGGCTTGGTCACAAGTACTGACTGATGTTGTAGTGGCCAGACTTAGGCTTGGTTACAAGTACTGACTGATGTTGTAGTGGCCAGACTTAGGCTTGGTTACAAGTACTGACTGATGTTGTAGTGGCCAGGCTTAGGCTTGGTTACAAGTACTGACTGATGTTGTAGTGGCCAGGCTTAGGCTTCGTTACAAGTACTGACTGATGTTGTAGTGGCCAGGCTTAGGCATGGTTACAAGTACTGACTGATGTTGTAGTGGCCAGGCTTAGGCTTGGTTACAAGTACTGACTGATGTTTTAGTGGCCAGGCTTAGGCTTGGTTACAAGTACTGACTGATGTTGTAGTGGCCAGGCTTAGGCTTGGTTACAAGTACTGACTGATGTTGTAGTGACCAGGCTTAGGCATGGTTACAAGTACTGACTGATGTTGTAGTGGTCAGGCTTAGGCTTGGTTACAAGTACTGACTGATGTTGTAGTGGCCAGGGTAAGGCTTGGTTACAAGTACTGACTGATGTTGCAGTGGCCAGGCTTAGGCTTGGTTGCAAGTACTGACTGATGTTGTAGTGGCCAGGCTTAGGCTTGGTTACAAGTACTGACTGATGTAGTGGCCAGGGTAAGGCTTGGCTAAAAGTACTGACTTATGTTGTAGTAACCAGGCCTAGGCTTACCTGGAGTTTACCTGGAGAGAGCTCCGGGGGTCAAGGCCCCCGCGGCCCGGTCTGTGACCAGGCCTCCTGGTGGATCAGAGCCTGATCAACCAGGCTGTTGCTGCTGGCTGCACGCAAACCAACGTACGAGCCACAGCCCGGCTGGTCAGAAACCGACTTTAGGTGCTTGTCCAGTGCCAGCTTGAAGACTGCCAGGGGTCTGTTGGTAATCCCCCTTACGTATGCTGGGAGGCAGTTGAACAGTCTCGGGCCCCTGACACTTAATGTATGGTCTCTTAACGTGCTAGTGACACCCTGTTTTTTCATTGGGGGGATGTTGCATCGTCTGCCAAGTCTTTTGCTTTCGTAGTGAGTGATTTTCGTGTGCAAGTTCGGTACTAGTCCCTCTAGTATTTTCCAGGTGTATATAATCATGTATCTCTCCCGCGGGATTCCAGGGAATACAGGTTCAGGAACCTCAATCGTCCAGTAATTGAGGGTGTTTTATCTCCCTTTTTGCGCGCCGTGAAGGTTCTCTGTACATTTTCTGGTCAGCAATTTCACCTGCCTTGAAAGGTGCCTGGAGTTTTCCCGGAGAGAAGTTCGGGGGTCAACGCCCCGCGGCCCGGTTGAGACCAGGCCTCCTGGTGGATCAGAGCTGATCAACCAGGCTGTTGTGTGGCTGCACGCAAACCAAATACGAGCCACAGCCCGGGGTGATCCGGAACTCACTTTAGGTGCTTGTCCAGTGCCAGCTTGAAGACTGCCAGGGGTCTGTTGGTAATCCCCTTATGTGTGCTGGGAGGCAGTTGAACAGTCTCGGGCCCCTGACACTTATTGTATGGTCTCTTAACGTGCTAGTGACACCCCTGCTTTTCATTGGGGGGTTGGTGCATCGTCTTGCCAAGTCTTTTGCTTTCGTAGTGGGTGATTTTCGTGTGCAAGTTCGGTACTAGTCCCTCTAGGATTTTCCAGGTGTATATAATCATGTATCTCTCCCTCCTGCGTTCCAGGGAATACAGGTTTAGGAACCTCAAGCGCTCCAATAATTTGAGGTGTTTTATCTCCGTTATGCGCGCTGTGAAAGTTCTCTGTACATTTTCTAGGTCGGCAATTTCACTGCCTTGAAAGGTGCTGTTAGTGTGCAGCAATATTCCAGCCTAGATAGAACAAGTGACCTGAAGAGTGTCATCATGGGCTTGGCCTCCCTAGTTTTGAAGGTTCTCATTATCCATCCTGTCATTTTTCTAGCAGATTGCGATTGATACAATGTTATGGTCCTTGAAGGTGAGATCCTCGACATGATCACTCCCAGGTCTTTGACGTTGGTGTTTCGCTCTATTTTGTTGCCAGAATTTGTTTTGTACTTGATGAAGATTTAATTTCCTCATGTTTACCATATCTGAGTAATTGAAATTTCTCATCGTTGAACTTCATATTGTTTTCTGCAGCCACTGAAAGATTTGGTTGATGTCTGCCTGGAGCTTTGCAGTGTCTGCAATGGAAGACACTGTCATGCAGATTCGGGTGTCATCTGCAAAGGAAGACACGGTGCTGTGGCTGACATCCTTGTCTATGTCGGATATAAGGATGAGGAACAAGATGGGAGCGAGTACTGTGCCTTGTGGAACAGAGCTTTTCACCGTAGCTGCCTCGGACTTTACTCTGTTGACGACTACTCTCTGTGTTCTGTTAGTGAGGAAATTATAGATCCATCGACCGACTTTTCCTGTTATTCCTTTAGCACGCATTTTGTGCGCTATTACGCCATGGTCACACTTGTCGAAGGCTTTGCAAAGTCTGTATATATACATCTGCATTCTTTTTGTCTTCTAGTGCATTTAGGACCTTGTCGTAGTGGTCCAATAGTTGAGACAGACAGGAGCGACTGTTTAAACCAGTTGCCCGGGGTTGTGTAATGATGGGTTTTCAAACGTGGTGATTTTGCTTCTTGGACCTTTCAAAGTTTTTTGATTGGGATGTTAGGCTATTGGTGTAGTTCTTTGCTGTTGCTTTATGCCCCCTTTGTGGGGTGGGGCTATGTTGTTTTTTTTAGTAAAAAGTGGGACGACCCCCCGTGTCCATGCTCCCTTCCATGGAGGAAAAGGGTCGTGATAGGGGCTTCTTGATTCTTGTTAAACAGAGTTCATGAGTTGGGCCTGGGGCAGAGTGCTGGGATGTCTTTATGCCGTTCGAAGTCATTTGGCGTCGGATAAACGGATAGGCTTGGTTAATCAAATTTTGTGGCTCTCTCATAAAAATTCATTTTGATTTCGTCTCAGTCTGGTTGCGGCTTGCTAAAAACTGAGTCTATTGGGACTTGAGTGTCATCATTTCCTTTTTGTATCTGTTTTGGACCCATCTTGTTTAAGTGGGGCCCCAAAATGGACGTTGTTCTCGATTTTGATTTGGCTGGAGAAGAAATCTTTGGGTTTCTTTCGATTTCATTTTTGGCTTTTTGTTTTCCCCCGATTCCTGACTCCCAAAAGGATTCTTTTAGCTTTGTTGATGTTGCTATTTCTCGCCAGTGTCTCCTAGCTTTCAGATTATTGACCTCTTTTAGCCGCTTGTTTTCTTTTCCGTCGCCTGTAAAGGAGCCCCTGTCTCTTTCTTTTTTTACATCTACTCCTCCTTTTTCTTAGAAGGATAAGCCTTGTGCATACATCGAGTGCTACCGAGTTAATTTTGTTCTAGGCATAAGTTGGGGTCTGTGTTGCTTAGTATATCTTCCCAGCTTATATCGGTTAGGACTTGGGTTTTCTTGGTCCCCCTTTATGTTTTTGTTATTGAAGTTGAATTTGGTGAATGCTCCCTCGGGGACTAATCTCATTATGTCGGTCTGGGGCTCCGCGCATACATGAAATGAACCTCAATTATGTTGTGATCTGAGTTATTTGTTTTGATTGGTGATAAAATTTTTTATAGATCATCATTGTTAGTGAAGATGAGGGTCTAGTGTATTCTCCAGTCTAGTGGCTCTATTATTTGCTGGTTTTAATTGAATTTTGTGCAGAGAATTTAAAAGCTCGGTGAGGTGAGTTTTATCAGAGTGCCTCCTGGTGTTATTACTGCACAATATTATTTGCTAATATTCCTCCATTTTAGGTGCCTTAGTTGGGAAATCCACCCAGGGCAGATGTTGGGGTGCGGGAGTGGAAGGTTTTCCAGACAGTGGTCATTTTTTAACAGCTGTTCTGGATGTGGGATGTTGCATCGGGGCTTGTAGACTTACAATGCTAGGTTTTGGTTTGACCTTACTGCTAAACTTCCATACATCATTTGAGGCATTTGCGTTCTGTGCAACAAGTGATCTGCAATGTACAGGCCAAACCCCCCCTTTTGCCTGTTCACTCTGTCACATCTGTATAGGTTTTTAACCTGGGGATCCATATTTCGTTGTCCAATGATCCCTTTATGTGGGTCTCAGTGAAAGCCCGCGAAACATTTCCTTTGCCTCTGCAAGCAGTCCACGGATGAAAGGTATTTTTTTTGTTTGTTGCTGGCTTTAGAAACCCCCTATATTTGCAAAGAAGAATGTTATCGGACTGGTGGTATTGTTGGTACTGGGGGGGGGGTTTTTTTTTTCCGGATTGTATCGTATTTTGGTTTGGGGAGGCCATCGACGTGGTTCCACTCAGGAATGACTGGATTTTGGGGTACGATTTCTCCCTTTCTGCCCGTTTTTTTTTCCCTTTCCCGCCTAAAAAACCTCTCCTCTTGAGGCTGTGGCTACAGGTTTTTTTCCCTGGCCCGGATGTTTGTATCTTTTTTTCCCCCTTTTGTGGGATGCCTGGCCAA